TACAATTCGGTTTGGCAAGTTCGACGTGCCAGGCGATTGGCGTCACCTCGTAGAATACTGAAAGTATGAGTATATATATTAATACATAAATACAGTGGCAGCATTTATCATAAAGTCGAATGCATGTGGGTGGCTCGTAAGCGTATCCTTTCTCCAAAGTCATGCGTTTGCGTTATCGTAAGTAATTTCATTGTGTGTATGGATAATACTCGTACATACATGCGTTTATATGTATATAGTTAGCGGTGTTAGCGCGGTTAAGATAGTAAATTAAAGATGGTTTTGTGTAATGGAATGTTTGTGGTTATAAAATTCAGTAGACGGAAATTAACAGCTGAATTTGTTGAATCATGCAAACGATTTCATGTCGCCCATTTGGCAATAAAATGAAAAGAGTGAAAAGTAAAATCCAAATAAAATTGCAAATCTGTGCTATTAAGTTACCACATGAGTTCGGTTTATGCGAAGGATGTTGCCAGACTCGAAGTTTTAACTGCAAATTACAGGTTTTTACACAAGCTTACAGTTGTTTAAATTACCACCTACTAGAAATTATTTTGCGCGATTTGAACGAATAAATTAACATTTCTCTTTCGGTTTTTTGTAAGTAAATTTTTAAGAAAAAAATTACCGATGAAGGAAAACGTTTCCTTACTCGAACAAAAAACAAAACCGAAAACTAGGAAATTCCAGCACTCTCTGGTATATTAAGGACTAAAGATTTTTTAAAAATACTGCTTCTCGAGAGACTTAATTTGAGGTATCGAATCACGTGCTCAATAAAATTAATTAAGCAATTTGCAAAAAATAATCAAACTGAATTTCATTAAAACAAAATATGGCTTACAGGGCAATTCTGACTCAGATAGTAAATGGTTTTTCGTAAGACAATCTTTTTTGATTTATTTTCTTTTAATTTTTTGAATGTATTTTTTTTAAAGAAAAATATATATTTTTAATTTCGTTTAATTTTTTACCCTTATTTTACGTAGCTTTTCTTTTTTAATACAATTTTTTTCTTCCTTAATTTACTTTTTAGATGTTATTATTTAAAAAAATTGCATATATTTGATTTCATTTAATTTTTAGGAACTTATAATACTTTGTTCGTTTTTCAATATTTTGTTCTTTTTTTGTTAAATTTTCTTTATATTTTTAGATTTCATTGCTTATAAGAGAAAGATATTTTTTAATTTCACTTCATTTTTACAAACCTATTTTTTTTAATTCAATAAATAAATTCTTTTGTTAATTTCATTTTGTTTTAATTTTTAGATTTTATTGTTTCAAAAAGAAAAATATATATTTTTTTCATTTCAGTTTTAAGATCCTATTTGCCTTTTTTTCTTAATTATTAATTTTTTTTTTTTAATATTTAGATCTTGTTTTGAAATTAAAAATATATTTAAATTTTTTTTTATTGTAAAGTACTATTTTCTTCTTTTAACCGACTTCACAAAAAAGAGAAAGGTTAGATATCAATTCGTCGGAATAGTTTTTTTGTTTTTTTTTTTTATGAATGTTACCGCATGCCTTTGGACCACATTAACCGATTTCTATAATTCATTTTTTAAAGGTGTTACCTCATAGGTGGTCCCGTATTAATTTAGTTGAAATCTTATCATCGAAAATCTTTGCTGAAAATACAGTTTTTTCTACGGAAATTTACAGTTTTTTTTTTAAATATCTGGCAACACTGGTTGCAACAAATATTGGTTGAGTACAGAATGATTATGATTAGGACAATTTAAATGCCAATAGGAGCTCTACGTACATCTGCTATCCCTTTACTTCATACTCAAAGTTTTTAATGGAGGCATCTGCAAGTAGAAAGATTTTTTGACATAAACATTTTTTTCGGCTCACTCTTGCCTGCACTGTACACTCGCCTAGGAAGTGTTCAACTGTTTTTTTTTTGATGTAGACCTACGCAGACAGCCGTCAGTTTAAAGGTATTTCTTGGCTGTTTTCTAAGTATGTACCACATCTGTCTGATAATTCTATACGACCCTGTGTAACTCAACCTCTCTTCGAATCAATCAGAAACCGAGAAAGAGGAGAGTGACTGAATTGTTCTGTCTAGCTATCCGAGAAAATATGCTATCGTCGGTGAGCGATATTTTATTTATTGTCTTACCGCCTATTTAATTAAATTTTCCCGATATATAAAGCAAGAACGGTCTCAAAAAGTCCCAAAATTGAAAAAATACCGGAAGATTCCTTTAACAGCTCTAGAATAAACCGAGAATTGGAAAAAAGTGAGTGAAGAATTTCTTCTTATTTGATTCTGTAACCGCCAGAGCGATTTTGGCCGAGATCAACAAGTCAGGTCAGTAGGTTCCCATCTGTGTGCCAACCGACGGCAATTGAAAATGTCAAGTCAACGGAGCCGTTGTAAAACTCATACAGCTCATCGTTCCATCGTCTGCGGTACTCGCCGTTGCCAACGCGTAAAGGCCCGTAAATCTTCCGAAAGATCTTTCTATCCACTTTCCCGAAATTATAACTGTCAACAGTGTCGTAGGTGCCAAGACGCGAATGCGCTGACTGTTTGACAGCAGATACTTCGCCTTGTCCTCGTTGACCACCAGACCAAATCGCTTTGCTTCCTTATCCAACTCGGAAAAGGCTACGAACAGGTTAAAATTAAGATTGGGATTGAGATTGAGATTGAGGTTAGAATTAAAATCAAGATCAAGATGAGGAAGATTAATGGCAGTTTGCACCATTTATGGTTAGCACTTATCCACACTTAAACATCTTTACCGGCGTTACCGTCTCCATACATATTACATCAAAACAGTCTTTCAGAAAGCTGAAAGCTAAAAATTTTGGCAGGAAATTGCACTTAAGGTCAACGAAGATCAAAAAAAAAAAAACGAGTGGATCAAATCTTCATCTAAATTTTGGGTTAAACCCATTATAAACGTATCTGATTAAGAGCTGGTTTATACACCGAATTTTTGTGTTCAAGTGGTTGAACGTAAAATGTGGAGAGCGATTTTTTCTTAAGAAATTTTAACTTTTTACACCTTCTGTTAAGTGTCTTGAAGTGACCCTTTTTGAGTAATTTCTTTAAAAAAGGTAGTTAGAGTATCAACAGATGGTTCTATTGTAGTTACACATATCTTGTTTTGAGAGAAATATATTTAGTTGACGTATTTTAACCTTTTTCTCAGTGCAGCGGGGTAATCTTTTAGTAGCAGTTTTTAACTAAAAATTTTACTTCAATTCGCCCACTCAAGAGCCACCTTATTCAATTTCTTTTGTACTAAGTTAAAACATTTTATTTCCAGTTAAACTGCCCCTCATTAGTTAGTCTAATTGTATGTAATAATGCCGGCGCTGCGCTGCGTCCGCCAACATTTGTTCTATTCATCAATGTTTAATGAGCACAAGCAACAAAAAGCATTCTCCCGCGTTCTCGCCGCTTCCTCTGTTCGTACCATCACTTTAAGCCGCATCCGTTTTTCCATACACCTGCAGTGTATTTAGCTACTATCTATCTATCCATATATCTATAGAATAGGACCTTGTGACTTTTCAGCCATTAAATTGCGCTATTGTCACGCAATTCTGTTGGTACCTCTGTTTCCTGTGCGCGCGCAGCATTCGTTATTATCATTGCATCAAAAGTGCTGCCCGACTACTAACCCTACACTTCGTACCGCTGCACAGTGCGGCCGAATTCCAAAAGTGCGGTGAAAATTCGAGAAAACAAAGTTTCTAGATAGGCCTTTTTTGACATTGAGTTGACTAAAGGAAGCACCAAAGAAGCGAAAACTGTTCACTGTGACGACCTGTATCCTAAGTCCTATCTTTATATTAATTTCTAGTGTGACCTTCTCCCAAGTACAACATTAGAGAATAGAAAACCAAAAAAAAAAAAATAAAAAATGGATTCTACGTCTGAAGGTTAGTAAAATACGTTAATAATTTTGTGAAAACTAATACTGTAACAGAAATTTTTAAGAAATAAAACTGCAAAGGTATTTTTTTCGTAACATAAGGCTGTCGAATACTGCTTTTAAACCTGTTAGAGTTTACTTAGGAAAGTATTAGCTACAGAATGAAACAAAACTCAGGTGGTCATCTCTGCTCCTTATATTTTTATTTTATTTTTTTTTAACACGCTTATACATATTAGATTCACCTCCATTTAAAAATTTCGAGCTTCTTAATTAGATTTCACAGAAAGACTTTGAGTATGCAGTTTTGTGGCCCATTAAATTTAAGTACAATAAAATGCAAGTTTAAAGAAGCTGGGACATACGGCTGATTTTTGGAAATTTTTTTTGTTGAAGGTTTTACTCATTTTCTTCATATCATCGAACATACTTCGTATGGAAGAAAATAACTGAAACTGTCAACAAAAAAAATTCTCAAAAATCAACGGTAAGTCCCAGCTACTTCAAACTTGCACTTTGTCATACTAAAATTGACCATGCTGTAAAACTGCGTACTCAAAATCTTTCTAAGAATTCTAATTAAAAAGCCCGAAATTTACAAGACGTCTTACTGGATCCGCCATGTCGAATTTTGCAATTCTGACAGCGGATTCGTAATTAGCGACTTCGGAAACCCCCTAGTACGAAATTTCGAATCATTTATTTAAGCCCTAGAATTTTGGCCGCACTTTTGAATTTCGACCGCACTGTGCGTTGCGCTGAAAAGTCCAGTCTTTGGCTTGCCTACCAGTGTGCTCTCTAGCCTGTGGCCTCCACCACACTTTGCCGTGGCGCTGTGATGCTGGCTGCGATGACTCATTGCTTTTGTTAAATTTAAATTGCCTAATTAAGCATTGCTGTATGCCAAATGAAAACGCTCCTCACAATGCTTTCATTCACACTATGCCTGCTGGAATACATACCCTACGTACCTTATGCTGATACATATTTAAATACTATATTTATCTTTGCTATTCTAATTTTTGTTCTATACTAATTCTTTCACTTTCCCTTTTGTTCCGTGCATCCGTGTTTTGCGCGTTGTATTTGCAGGTCCTGAAGATGTGCTGAAATTTCTCGGAAACGAAAGTGTCGTGGATCATTTTAAGCTTGTCACAAAGGATGGCAACAGTCTGCTGGTCGGTGCCAGGTGAGTAGCCAAGCCAAGTCAACTTTTTGTTAGTAAAATATATATATAGTTAGGGTATGTATATATACTTAGTCATCGTTGTCGCATACTCTGTGTCAAGTGGGGCAACGAGTGCTGTAAGTGCCGCATTGGGGGTGTGCGTGCAGCAGCATAACAAAAAAAAAACAAAAACAAAAAAACAAGTGAAAATAGGTTAACAAAGGCGTCCGTTCGCATGGAAAACAAAGCTAAAAAAAACAAGTTTATGAAATAAAATGAAAGCAGTATGCGGCGGCCATAGAAAGTGCTCGGAAAATGTGTATAAAACAGGAAGACACTTGAAAGTAAAGTCAACATGCAGAGCACCGGGTACGGTCCGGTGCGGCCAAGCAGCCAGCCAGCCAGCCAGCCAGCCTGCCAGCCTAACCTGCCTGCCAGTTATGTATCCAGCTTGTGAGCTGTCCCGCACAGTCTCACAGGTCGCTGAAGGCACACAACGAACTGAATGGTGGCATCGTACGAACGAATACAACTCCAAGTCCGGAACTTTCGACTGTTACTTGTCAAAGCAGTTGCTGCCACACACAACAGTCAGTAGCCAAGCAGTGAAATACCTGCGCGCCCTTACCACCTACACTCTCCATTCAGTTGCTCGTCCTTTCTCCTGCAAGTTGATATTTTGGCGTCGCGCTGCTGTGCCATTTTTATTATGTTCTTCACTTTTCCTCTGCTTGTTACTGCTAGCGTGAATTTCCATTTTTCCGTTGTAGTGCATATAAAAAGTGCGCTTGCCAGAAGATATTTTGCTTCACTCGTTCGCACTGCTGCTGTTGCATCAGCAGCAGCATTGTCGCTGTTGCCGCCTCCACATCCCCCTTTTGCTTTGTTAATTTGGCTATCGTTGCTAGTAACTGGCAAGTACGTCTTTAGCTTGCTTTGGCCTGTGTCCGCTGTCATTTGCGTTGCCAGCCGCCAGCCGCCAGCCGCTCGAGAAATGTCAACGCAACGAGGCGTTTGCGCGTGCACTTTGTCACACTTTTCCTTTGCCAACTGCTAGGCGGCTGCTTTTTTTCTGCTTTGTAGCTTGTTCGAGCTCCTTTTATGTAAATACATTAGACCTTGCCTCCTAACAAACAAACGTAAAAATTTCGCTGTATACCCCTGAGTTTAAAGTAAGCAAGGCAATTTTTTTTTTTTGCCGAAATCTTGGGGGTCACTTTTTTTTGTTTATCGGTGACAAGCTACATACAATCAGCAATATTATTTTTTTCTTATAATTTTACTGGAATAACCTCAACACTTCCTTATCAAAAGTTTAATGATTTTCGGTGAGCTTTAATTTAATGACATTAGGGTGAACGTTGGGGGTGATAAGTACTGAGATTTGGTGGATAAGCACTAGAACGAGGTACTTGAGGTCAATAATTTTTTTTTTCCAAAAATTGTCTTAACGAAAACGTCGACATATCATACTTCAAGATCCGACTATAAAGGCCGAAGATATGATGAAAAATGTAAAAAGATGTTCGTCAAGCAACAAAAATAATCGAAATCGTCTTCGAATCGAAATACTTCCTTAGCAAAAGTTAAATGATTTTTGGTGAGGTTTAATTTAATGACATTAGGGCGGTAAAACCTTGGCCGACCAAAAAGTAATAAAAAATCGAAATTGCCTTCGAATCGAAGTACACAGGTACTTTCTTAGCAAAAGTTTAATTATTTTTAGCCTGCTTCAATTAACTGACGTCAGTGGTGACAGACAAAAGAAGCGATATTTCATACTTTAAGTTCCGACTATAAATACTGAAAATATAACGAACATGTATAAAAAAAAATTCGAAATTGCCGTGCAAAAATATTTTAGGCTACTAAATAAAATAAAGTTAAGTTTAAAAAAGAAAAAAAAATTTAAATTACAATAAAGCAAAAATAAATTATAAATTTTATTATTAAATGATTAAAAAAAACAATATTTTCTTTTTAAAATAATAAAATTCTTTTTACAAAAAATAAAATTAAGTTAGGAAAAGAAAAAAATTAAATCAAGTTTTTCTGCTAAATTAAAAAAGTAAAATAAATTAAAATATAGCAAAAATAAATAAGAATACATATTTTTAATAAATTATTAAATTATTATTAAATAATAAATTTTTTAATTAAATGATTAAAAAAAACAATATTTTCTTTTTAAAATAATAAAATCTAAAAATTAAAAATAGGAAAAGAAAAAAATTAATCAAAAAAAGAAGAAAATAATACTTAAAAATTAAAAACAACAAGTAAGAAAGTCTAAGTTCGGGCGGAGCCGAACATTAAATACCCGGCGCAAGTATTAAATATATGTTTTCCACCTTTCCGAAAGCTACCGCAACATGATAAGCCGGGGTGTATACATTTTAAGTAAATTAGCAACCTTAAATTTCGAAATATTGAAATTTCAAGCATATCTGAAATTTAGCGTTATATGAAAAGCGGCCTCAATTTTAGTCCGATTTCAACAATTTTAAACGGTTTGCTTTTATGTGGCAAGCACAATAACCATACCGAGCTTGGTACAAATTGCTAGAACGGTTAGCGAGATACATATATGTGATCACAAGTGGGCGGTGCTACGCCCATTTTCCAAAATTT